TAATAATATTTTAAAATCCTGATTATTCCTGTGGATTTCCAGTAGACAAGAAATCTAGTTTTGTTTATCCTTTGGCTATTGAATTATTATTTATCATCTTTAGACAGACACTGCAGGTCTGAGATCAGAACTATCAGGTAAGGTCCACATTTATTTTAACATTAAAGGGCCAAACTGTGGCATCCTGTGGCATGCAAGAGACTCAGTGACCCCTTAAGAATATACAGTAAGCCAAGCCTCATTTTAGTGCTGACTGACTCTGTCGGCAAGAAGCTTAGTGACTTTGGCAAAGCCACACAGATGCTATCAGCCTCAGTTTTTTCATCTCTAAAAAGGCAGAACTTTGGGAGAAATCCTAACTTCTTCTAAGTACATGGTCATTTCCAGTGCCATTAGCCCCCCATCCCAATCTTGTCTCCCATGTATTATTTTCATTTGACAACAAGTCTTTCTCTTTCAGTCAAATGTAACTAAACTATTTTATATCATTTTAAGAGCCATTTTAAAAATTATGAAATAGATAATACAGAGAAAAGAAAAAGCAAATAAACAAGGGCAGGAGAGAAAAGCTATGTGTATCTTCTCCTAATGATGTACCTGTATCTTGCCCCACACTATCCTGAATTTTTATGTCTCATGTTTTACATTTTACAATATGTATGTATCATGTGAAATGCATTGTTTATATATTGTCATAAAACATAGTAAATGGTCTATATTCTTCAGGGAAAAAAATTTAAAAAAATAAAATTAAATAAAATTAAAGGGCCAAGGGCCAGTGAGATAGCTCAGTGGTCTAAAGGTCCTGCTTAGTCAAGCTTAGGCAACCACAGGGAGCATGGTTTGAGCCCTGGCACCACATGCCATGCCAGTCCCCTCCCACCCCCCAAAGCGGGCTGAGCCAGCAACAACAACAAAAAAAAATTAAAGGGAGGGTCATATAGCTCAGTGGCATAGTGCCTGCCTGGCAAGTACAAGGTCCTGAGTTTGATTCCTAGTACCACCTCAAAAATTAAAATAAAAAACATGATCATCTATTTAAAGGTAAAAACTAAAGTATAGATACTATAAAGAATTTGGATTTGAATCAGAACATCTGTGTTCTATTTGTAATTTTTTGAGGAATCTCTATACTGATTCCTATGCTTATCTCTCTCATTAATTCAGCTGGGTCACTTCAGGCAAGTAACTGCTCAGCTCTGAACTGTATATGCTAACTGTTCAGCTTTAACATTGTGTGCTCTCTATACTAAAACAAGACTGGCCAAGGGAAGCTGAATCATCTTGTTTACCAGCCATCTACACTAGCTTGGCAGCTCAGAGGTCAGTCTCTAGTTGCATTTTCATCTTTTTTTAATCCCTTAAATCCTTACTAGGCTTTCATTGCTAGTTTGTTTGCCTAGGAATTTGCATTTGCAGACATTGAGGGTTTCCTACCTTTGGAGTTTTTCTGTGCTCACAAATTCATGGTACAGTTACTTATAATTGAGTGAAAAATGCAACAATTAATTACAAGAATGTGTCTGTAAAATCAGATTCTATCATGACTGTTGCCTCTTTACTATTTCTCAGCTCTTAAGTTAATACATTTGAATCTTGGTATAGTGAAATATCATTGTCATTTTCTTCCAATAACTGTGCTAGCACTTTCTCCCTTATTCATTGTTCCAAGTAGTCTAAGTATTCTTAAAACCTAAAATCGTAGAGCAAGAAAGCTCCATATCATGAAAAAGCTCTCTAGCTTAATCCTGTTACATATGTTAGGCACTTGAAATTTTCATTGATTTGAGATAGCTTGATTACACTGGGCTAAAATTAACCTTTCAGTGGCTGTCTCTGGAGATAAAGTAAACAAAATCATAGCTTTGCTCAAAATGTTGAGAAATTAAATTTATGAGGACTTCAATAAATGTGTGTGTGATTGATTGATTGATTGATTGATTCATTCATTCATTCATTCATTTGAGACAAGGTCTCACTATGTATTTCATACTAGCCTTGAGCTTACTATATAGCTGAAGCTGGCCTTGAATTCATGGTGATCCTCCTGCCTCAGCCTTCCAAGTGCTGAGATTATAGGCTTGTTCTACTACATCAAGCTTACATGTAATATTTTAACAAAAAAGGTAGAATGAGTTATAAAAAGTGCCTCATTAAAGGAAGTCTAGAACTATAGTCAAAAAGAGAAACAAGCTAGTTATAGTGGCTTATGCCTATAATTCCAGTTACTTGGAAGGCTGAGGCAAAAGTATCTCAAGTCCAGGGCCAGCCTCAGCAGCTCAGTGAGGCTAGCCCTGAGACACTGTCTCAAAATAAATTTTAAAATGGGCTGGAGTATAACTCAGTAGTAGAGAATTTGCTTAGCATGCATGGGGCCCTGGGATTCAGTTCCCAGTACCATCAAAAAAGAGATGAAGGAGACAAATAATAACAAATATTGGTGAGGGTGTTGAGAAATTTATGTTGGATGGAGATGTAGAATCATGCAGCCATTATCACTTATACCACTTCTGAATATCTACCCAAATGAAATGAAAACATATGCCCTCACTGAAACTTACATGCAAATGTTCACAGCAGGATTATTCATAATAGCTAAAATGTGGAAATAGCCCATATGTTCAATTAAGCTATAGAAAGGATGAAGTACTGATACATGCTACAATATGGATGAAAGCTAAAAACGTACTAATTGAAAGAAGTCAGACACAAGGGGCAATACTATTGTATTATTCCACTTACATAAAATGTCCTGAATAGGGAAATGCAGGCTGGGTATATAGCTCAGTTGAAAAAGCGCTTGCCTGGCAAGTGCAAGGGCCTGAGTTCAATCCCCAGCTCCGAAAAAAAAAAAAGAAAGAAAGAAAGAAAGAAAAACAGAATAGGGAAATCCAGAGACACAGAAGAGTTAGATTAGTGATTATCAGGAACCTGGGGTAAGAGGCAAGGGCAATGATTGATAATGGATATGGGATTTCTTTTTAAGGTTATGAAACATTGTAATATTATATTTATTTTATTCTAATATTATACAATTTTGTGAGTACACTAATCAAATTGTTGTCTTTGGGCTGGGAAGATAGCTCAGTGGACTAAACATCTGCTTAGGGAAGCACAGGAACCTGGGTTCGATCCTCAGTACCACATGCTATGCCAGTCTTGCCCTTGGGTGCAATGAGCCAGTGACCAAGTCCAGATGTGGTGGTGCAGGCCTATAATCCTAGCACGGGAGAGACTGAAAATAGAAGATCAGGGCCAGCCAAATAGCTCAGCAGATTAAAGTGCTTTTGGGGGCCAGGGAGATGGCTCAGTAGAATAAGCTCTTCCCTGGCAAGCGCAAGGGTCTGAGTTCAATCCCCAGTTCCACCAAAAAATAAATTAATTAATTAAATAAATAAAGTGCCTGCTTAGGCAGACACAAGTGCCAGGAGTTCAATCCCCTGGCGTGCTGTGCCGGCCCCTCCCCTGAGGCACGCTGAGATGGCAATTGAGACTAGGCATCGTGGTGGGCCTGTTATCCCAGCACTGGGGAGGCTGTAAACAGGAGGATCACTACAAGTCTGATCTACTTTGTGAGACCCTGTACACCCTATCCTAAATACAAGAAAAAAAAGAGAAAGAAAGAAAGAAAGAAAATAGGAGGATCACTGTGAGTCTGAGCTGCATAGTGAGACCGTGTACCCAATGCATAAATTTTAAAAAAATGTTGGCTTTCAAGGAGTGAATACAGTCTTATATGAATTAAATCTCAGTGAAACTATTCTACATTAAAGCATTAGTTCCTATATTATTATAACTGTTTAGAATTATAAAATATATGTAAATTGTATTTTATGCCAGGGATTGGAGAAGGGGAGGAATGGGGAGTTAATATTTCCTGGGTATAGTTTGAGTTGGGAAATATGCAAAATTCTGGAGCTAGGTTATTCTACTGGTTGCACAGCTGTGTGAATATACTTAATCCTATGTTATTATGTATTTAAATGTTAAGTTTTATGTATATATACTAACAATCCATAACACAAAACTACATTCATATTATTCTAACATATAAGTCGTTTATCCTTGTCTTTCTAATAGGAAAACTGAAGATGTGATTGATCTTTTATTTTTTGTGCATGGGGCCCTTCTGGATTATGATTTAGAATTCCATGTGTGTGTGTGATTTATCTGTTCTACCATTGCAGGAAGAATCATGGCCTTCCAAACTTTTTGCCCTGTACAGTATATTTTTTTCCACAGATTGGTTTTGGTGTACTGTGCAGTACTTGAATAAAGGATCCAATCAGAGTTGATGTACTCAGAAATCCATTGATGTATTCATGGTCTCATAATCATAATTTTTTAAGATTAGTCCTATTTCCTGTAGTTTCAAAATTTTTGAGTCATATCTTGAGTTAGCCTTTATAAAGGCCAACGAATCCTTGTATCTTTAGTCTATAATTTGATGATTTTCATGTTCTTTGATTTTTCTTTTCTTTCTTTTTTTTTTTTTTTTGCTGAATGAAAATGGTATTTTTATCTTTTCCTGAACTCTTTGATTTCTGTGGTGACTGACCAACCTAGTAAAAAGGTTTTTATTTTAACAATATGATTGTGTACATGTTCCCCACCATCAACAACAGCAATATCAGATGTATTCTAACAAGTTTCCACTAGTCTGGTTTTTATTTCCTTTTTCATACATAAAGTATTTTCAGATTCTGCAATTAATATAGAAAGACATCAAGAGATGGCTGAAGAGGAAATTTAACTGATCATTCACATTGCAGTTGAAGTAGTCACAAAAATTTCTGGCAAACAGTCTATTAAATGAAAATGTAAAATCTTTGGAGGCTTTGAATACATTTGAGGATTTTTGGCATCCTTAATATTTTACTTAAAAATAATATTTTACTGGTTCTTTTTAATCTCTTACCTTTTCCCAGGGATTTTGTACATTTAAAATTACAACCTTCCTATCAAGTAATTGCTTTAATATTTTCTTTTGTTTTCAACAGTGCCCTTAAAGATAGCCGTTTTCCCCCTATGACAAGGGATGAGCTGCCACGGCTTTTCTGCTCAGTGTCTCTGCTCACTAACTTTGAAGATGTCTGTGATTACTTGGACTGGGAGGTAAGATTATAGAAATTTTTAAAAGAAAATTAAAGGTAATTCCTGGGTAGATATTAGAATCTAGGCTCAGAAAGTAAGTCTTTGAACTGATTCTCATGGGTTAATAAACTTCATTGCTGAACAATAAGATGTGAATAAAGACATTTAAACAGATTTCATGTATTGTTATAATCCTGTAATTGCATTTAGTCTTTTATTTTTATCCTACTTCCTCTCAGAGCACCTCATAAAAGCTGTTAATAAGTAGTGAGAAGAACTGACTAGCATGTATTTCTCCTGTTTCCATTTCATTGCACTTGTGTTTAACTGCTAACAAGTGATTAGGGCATCAGAGGATGGATTTGAGCATTAAGAAGCAGGAGTTCTCTAAGATAATGTACCACTGGGGGAAATTAGCTCATAGAAATGACAGAATGTTGGTTAACTAAGCTAAATAATGTGACTATCTTCTTGACTATCTTAATCTACACACTTTTCCTGTAACAAATTAGATTGTTTCTACAGCAGTGATGGTGACCCTGTCAGAGCTTTAAATGCTAATAGCCAACTGCAGCATGCATGCCATAAGTTTGTCACTGCTTACCTAGAGCACCTCTCCCATAATCAGAGACGCCTCTATTGATATTTTTATTTTTATTTTATATATGTCTTTAACTTCTTAATGAAGTTCAGTGATTCTCATAATGATTTACTTTAGTGGTTGAGAGGATATAGTCATGTATAGGCTTACAAAGTTTTATATGCACCATATTTGTCCAGAATTACTAAGTGCCAACCGTATTCCAGGCACTAAGCTACATGCATAAAAGTGTTTGAAATGTATTACAAAATAGAAATAAATGCTGTGGGACTGAAAAAAAAGAGAATTCAGTGAAAGCATGTTTCTTTTCATACTACTCAGAAATGATATTACTATATCATTATGCTCTATTATGATTTAATTCTACGGCTGTTTTTGAGAAACAATCACCTTTGATAACTGAGATATTTTGCCTTCTAGCCAGATCCCTTTCTTCATGGTTAATTGGACTTGTATTTTATTTTTGTTTTGTCCTGATACCTTGTGAGACTTCAGACATTTCATTCCACTGCAATTCACTTTTTCCAAATGCAAAATAACACATTTGTAAAGTTCTTGATATTCATTTGAAAAACATCTTTATTATGTAAATTATTACAGCAGAGCTGTTGTAAATCTTTTCTATGCTGAGTGGGTAACAGAGTTCTTTTTGGGTTTTGTGATGGGATTTGCTAGACCATTATCAGAATATAAGATGGCATTTTAGGATTTTTATAAAGGAAGAAATAAAATGAGTATTTCTGGTCCTAGCAAAGTTGGAATGTATAAAACATTTGTAAAATTTAGATTTCTTGTCTTATAGTTTCTGTAAGTTTTTTGCTCCTATTTGGTTTGTCTTAAAGAGGAAATTCACTGATATTATGAACATATTCTATAGTACTTTGTATTTAAGTGACGCCAACTCAGATTACCCTTTTATTTATATTATATATTAAATTTTGGATTCTTTTAGTGATTTAAGGCTGCTGTACTCTCTTCTTTAGCCCAATTCTTATTTCTGCTTTCTGGATTGCAAGGTGCAATATGTATAGGGGTGGAGTTGGGAATAATAGGGAAAGAAACCTAACATCTAGATGACTAAGCTACAGAAATTTTTCTACTCTTGCTTGCTGCCATTGAGTTGTAGGTACAATTTTGGGCATTATGCACACATATGTATGTGTGACATTCATTAGCATATATTGTATAAATGTGTGCATGTGTATATTAGGGGAAGGAAAAAATCAAAAAGATATTACGTAAGTATGGGTAAGTACAAAGTAAATCAGTATCTTCTTTAGTTCACTTCCAGTGCTGTCATTAACCTTGTTGTCATTGAGCTTTTATGTTCATCAGATATATCAGTTTTCTGTGAAGCAAGGGGAAAGTAAAGCAGAATTGGCACTGTATATTCTTTCAGGGACAAGTTATTGTCTTTGGTCACTATCTACAAATTTGAATTTTGGAGGATTCTATGTTGTTTCTTAGTCTTGCATATTTAATATATAAAATTTAGGGCCTGAATAGTTTGTTCTGTTAAATGATACTTTCCTATTGAAGCTATATATATATTTTTTTTTATTTGTAAGCATTTATAAATGAATTAGATGTTGCTAGAATGGGTAGACTGAGAAAAAGACTATTCAGTTAATTTATCATTGTTTCAAGTAGTTGGCACAAGTGAAATTTCTCCTCAAAGAGGGTGAAAATTAGATGTGAGTTGCTCTTTAAACATGTACCATTGTGATTGAAAATGGACTATTATTGGGGGGATGATATTCTAAGGGTTATCTTTCATAATTCTGAAAAAGCATTGTCACTTTTAAGTATAGAATACCAGAGTTGGATTAAAGGCATTTAAAAGTTATATTGATACAATGCTACTCCTACAAATATGCCCCAAAGAATTTTTGCAAGTGTTGAACAAAAATTTACAAATGTTCATATCAGTAATACTCAGAATGATCAAAAATGAAAACAACTTAAATATTTTTCAGTAGATAAATGGATAAAAATAATATGGTATATCTGTACAACTTAATAGTATTCATCCATAAAAGGAAGGGTGAATAGGAAGTGACTGCTTAACAGGCACAAAGTGCCATGTACAGTGATGAAGAAATTGTGCAATTTTAGGTAGTGGTGGTTTCACAGCACTATGACTGTGTGTAACACCACTAAATTGGATGTTTCAAAATTGTTAAAATGGTAAATTTTGTTATGTGTATTTTAACACAAAAGTGGAAAATAAATTTCACATACACACATTGACTATGATAATCATTCATATTTATTGAAGAAAAAATTAATAATTCAAAAAGTATAAATAAATAAATGCAAGTCACTCATAATAACACCATTCTGAGAAAACTGTTAACACTTTGGAATAATGTTGAAAACCTCCATAGCATGCAGGTTCTCTGAAGATTCAACCAGCCACAGATCAGGAATATGTAAAAATTATTGCTTTGTTGAATATTTACAGACCTTTTTCTTGTCATTATTCCCTAGATACAATACAGTATAACAACTATTTACATAGCATTTATATTATATTCATTATTATAAATAAAATCTAGATATGATTTAAAGTACACAGGATAACGTGTGCCCATTATATGCAAATACTCTGCCATTTTATACAAGAGACTTGGTCTTCCATGGATTTTGGAATGGGAGGTGGGATCTTGATAGCAAATCCCCACAGATACCTTTATTTCATTCCATTCTTTATATGTTTATATCAATAAATCTGCATATTTGGCTATTTATATATGATCATATTGAATATACATAGTATTTAAAAGAAGATTAAGTCTGCTTATCTCTGTGTATAGTTAATTTTTATTGTGACTTTCCCTTTTCAGAAGTCAGTTTATATTACAAAATTATACATTTCACTTAGAGAAATTTTATACTGTCAAAGCAGTACAGCTTTTCTCCCAAGAGGAAAATATCCTATTCACCACAACTATCTAATTTTAACCTGAAATGTAAAGTTATGTATATATTTATGCCATATCAGAAAACAAAGAGATTACTGCAGAATTTTCATAGAGAATTTTAAGGGTAAAGATAGTGTTTTCTATAAGCAGAAGGCTTTAACATAGGGATTTTCTGGTGGAAAAGTTTGAGATTTGACACTCACTGGTGAAGTATATCACTACCTTTGAATCCCTAAATAAAGGGGTGAAAGTCCCCACCCAGATCAAAACAGAAAGATGGCATAATCTAAATATCTCAAACAACAGAGATAAGAAACTTCATTAACATGAGAGACATCCATGTCATCGTGAGGATGAGGCATGTGGCCAGTAGTTATAGCTGCCTAATTTTGAGACTACCAGGAAGCAAATGGACTGCTATAGAGCTACCTACTATCTGTCTTTTTTAATCCAAGGTTTTTTATGTAGTCTATTTAGAATTGTCATTTGGTAATATAACACATCTCTAGTTTTATAATGAAAGTTAGTGGAAAGTAAGATTTGCTCTGGAATTTATTTTAGTGACTAGAATAATCACTTTTATAATGTAGAATATTTGATAAATGATTTCATAAATAGGTATAATTGATTTCAAATCAATAATGAATTGACAGAAGGACCAAAAATGAGTTCATATGTTATATTTCATCAAAATAGTAGTTAAAACATCTAAAATGAGTGTAACTATTAATCTCTCCAGAAATCAGACTACTGTAGGCATTAAAAACAACCAGATTGTGGCTGGGAGTTCTGTCCCTGGCCTGCCATGCTGGCCCCACCCTCCGGGCACACTGAGACAGCGAATGAGCCTGGGTGTGGTGGTGGGCACCACAGTCCTTGGGAGGCTGAAAAACAGGAAGGATCACTACAAGTTTGATCTGTGTGGTGAGATTCTGCAGACCCCGTACTAAAAACATTTTTAAAAACCAATAAAAACAACCAGATCACCCACAAAAGGCTATAGACATAAGTTGGATCGGTGCCCTTACCCTTCTCAGAATCTCTGATAGGGCTGGCGAGATAGCTCAGTGGTCTAAAGTACCTGCTTAGGCAAGCTTAAGCAAGCATGCAGGGACCTCAGTTCAATCCCCAGCACCACATGCCATGTCAGCCCCGCCCCCAAGGTGGGCTGAGCTGACCATAAAAAAAAAAAAAAGAATCTCTGATCATTGCATACATCATGATCTACCTATTGCCCTGGTATGTGTGAGGATGGAATTTGATTTGGGGAAAAATGTTTTGCTTTGTTTTTTAAGGGAAGGGTATACAGGGTGTTCAGGGTCTCACTACTAGATCGGACTCATTGTGATTCACCTAGTTACAGATTCCCAAGAGCTGGGATTGCAGGTGCGCGCCAGCATGCCCAGTCTCAATTGCCGTCTCAGTATGCCCCGGGGGCGGGCCGGCACCAGGGATCAAACCCCTGGCCCCTGTGCCTGCTGGGGAAAATGTTTATT